CCACTACTACCACCACTAATACCACTGCTACTACTACCACCACCAACCACCACATGACCAATCATTTCTTGGTTAACAACATCAACAAACACCGCGGCTGTCTCTGTGTGTCTGTGTGTCTGGTCTGTGTGTGTGTGTCTGTGTGTGTGTGTGGGGAGCGGTAGTGTAGCGGTTAGCGCGCTGCGCTATGAACCTGGCGACCCGGGTTCGATTCCCGCTCACGGCTAACACCAGTGACGATTATCTGAACCGGTCCTGGGCCTCCCCTAGGTCGACTCAGCCTTAAATGAGTACCTGGTGCGGTGTGTAAACATCGCCACTAGGGAGACAAAGGCGGTCGGGCGTGGTGCTGGCCACCCACCCCCTCGTGTACCGTTCCGGCCTTCATAGGTGCTCGCTAACAGCACTTGCCCCTACAGTCTGTTCAGGCTATACGGGGGATCTTTGTCTTTGTGTGTGTTACTATTACCATCATTATAGGAAAAAACGGTGATCCAATCTCCGACCCCCAGGAACAGGTTTGCAGATTTGCTGAGCATTTCTGTGAGGTCCTGGGGGAGGGAAATTCTCTCAGCCAGGAAAACATCATGGCACAAAGTGGTGATAACCCTGCTGAGGCTGCGGTGCCTCAAATATTGGAAGAGGTCACCCCCTGTGAGTGGCTGGCTGAGGTGCCAGCTGTTGAGGAAGTACTGAGGGCGATCCGGAGTCTGAGACCAGGGAAGGCACCGGGCAGAGATGATCTCCCAAGCGAAATGCTGAGGGAGGGTGGCGTTTGTGCACAGACTGCCCTATATGACATCATAACAACAGTCTGGACCACTGGACGGGTTCCGCAGGACTGGAAGGATGCCCTGGTGGTCCCCCTCTTTAAGAAGGGGGACCGTACCGACTGTAACAACTACAGGGGCATCTCACTCCTCAGTGTGCCGGGTAAGGTCCTGGCAAGGATTATTCAACATCGCCTTGCTAGGCACGGTGAGGAGAGGCTTGCGGAGCCCCAATGCGGTTTCAGGAAAAAGCGGTCCTGCACAGATGCCATATTTTCTGTCCGTCTGCTACAGCAGAGGTGTAGGGAATTCCAAAAAGACCTACATCTCTGCTTTATTGACCTGGTCAAGGCCTATGATACCATCAGTAGGACTGGGCTCTGGGTTGTTCTTCGTGCTTTCGGAGTCCCTGACCCTCTGCTCACGATCATTAAAGACCTTCATGATGGTGAGCGGGCCCGGGTAAAACTACGTGGCCGGGAGTCGGAGCCTTTCCCTGTACACCTTGGGGTGCGACAGGGATGTCCTCTGGCTCCCACATTATTTAACATCTATTTTGACCGCGTAGTTCGTGAAGCCTTCAATAGCTGTACCGGGGGAATTTCCATTTGGTACAGATATAATGGGAGGCTGATCGATGCCCGGGTGCGATCAAGGGATGGCTCCCTATTGGTCAACCACGTTATGTATGCCGATGATTTGGTAATAGCTGCTCATTCAGAAGAGGAGTTGGAGACGCTGCTGCTGAGACTGGAGCGTGCCACTAAAAGGTGGGGCCTTACCATCAGCCCCACCAAAACTAAGCACCTGCCTGGGTATTTTGTACCATCGGACACTCCACCCCCACAACTCCCAATTGGTGATGGGGCAGTTGTGGAGAGAGTGGAGAGTTTCCCATACCTGGGCAGTGTGCTTATGACCGGCTCCAGTTTATCAGCAGAGGTCTCACTCCGAATCAGTCGAGCGGCAATATCTTTTCATCGGTTGCGTAACGCTGTGTGGAAGCTACCTGGTCTGTCGCTCCGCACGAAGCTTCAGGTCTTCTCGGCCACGGTCATTCCCTCCCTTCTCTACGCTTGCGAAACGTGGACCCCCCTGGTGGAGCATCTTCGCCGGTTGGAAACATTTAGGCTGGCCTGCCTACGATCCATCTTGGGTTTAACCAGGCTGGATTGTGTGAGGAGCTCACAAATCCTTGAAAGATCTGGGCAAAGTCCCATCAGTGAGCTCCTCCGGCAGGCAAGGCTGCGTTGGCTGGGTCATGTAGCCCGCATGCCCAGCCACCGCATGCCTAAACAGCTTTTGTTCGGCCCGATCGAGGGGGCTAGACGGGCGCGGCACGGGCTGGAGAAGAGATGGAGTGATGTGGTACAGGAGGACGTGGAGCTGAGTGGACTTGCCGATGACCGGTAACAGCGGTGTCAAGATCGGCCTCAGTGGAGGAGGCTCGTGAAGGACGCTACTGGGCAGTTGGAGGCAGTCGCCCTCCAACAACAACGGAGGGCGGAGGAGCGACGCTCACAACAACGAGCGGAGCGCCGGGTGGCTAAAGCACAGCAAGTTGGTACAGTAGGGGGCACAGGTGGTGCATCAGCCAGTCATCTAGGTCATCTCGGTCAGTCGACCCGTGGCACCTGGGTCTGCCCCGTGACCTCTTGCCAGCGGGCGTTCGACACTTCACGTGGCCTCAAGGTGCACTTGGCCTGGCACAAGATTCGTGGTGACGTCACCGCCACTTAGTGGCGAATGGCGGTTGTTGTTGTGTGTGTTAATGTGTGTGTGTGGGGAGCGGTAGTGTAGTGGTTAGCGCTACGCTGCGCCATGAACCTGCCGACACGAGTTCGAGTCCCACTCACAGCCAACATCAGTGACAATTATCTGAACCGGTCCCGGGCCTCCCCTAGATCGACTCAGCCTCAAATGAGTACCTGGTGCGGTGTGTAAACATCGCCACTGGGGAGACAAAGGCGGCCGGGCGTGGTGCTGGCCACCCACCCCCTCGTGTGCCACAGTGCCGGTAGCCTTCATAGGTGCTCGCTAACAGCACTTGCCCCTACAGTCTGGCACAGGCTATACGGGGGATTTTTGTCTTTGTGTGTGAGTGACACAGCAGTCAACCCATGGCACCTGCAGGGTCTGTCCCGTGACCTCGTGCACCTAGCCTGGTACAGCAGTCAACCCATGGCACCTGCTGGGTCTGTCCCGTGACCTCCTCCTCATGCACCTAGCCTGGCACAGCAGTCAACCCATGGCACCTGCTGGATCTGTCCCGTGACCTCCTGCACCTAGCCTGGCACAGCAGTCAACCCATGGCATCCGCTGGGTCTGTCCCGTGACCTCCTCCTCATGCACCTAGCCTGGCACAGCAGTCAACCCGTGACACCTGCTGGATATATCACGTGACCTCCTCGTGCACCTAGCCTGGCACAGCAGTCAACCCATGGCACCTGGTAGATCTGTCCCGTGACCTCGTGCACCTAGCCTGGCACAGCAGTCAACCCTTGGCCCCTGCTGGATCTGTCCCGTGACCTCCTGCACCTAGCCTGGCACAGCAGTCAACCCATGGCACCTGCAGGGTCTGTCCCCTGACCTCCTCCTGCACCTAGCCTGGCACAGCAGTCAACCCATGGCACCTGCAGGGTCTGTCCCGTAACCTCCTCCTCATGCACCTCGCCTGGCACAGCAGTCAACCCATGGCACCTGCAGGGTCTGTCCCGTGACCTCCTCCTCATGCACCTAGCCTGGCACAGCAGTTAACCCATGGCACCTGCAGGGTCTGTCACGTGACCTCCTTCTGCACCTAGCCTGGCACAGCAGTCAACCCATGGCACCTGCTGGGTCTGTCCCGTGACCTCATGCACCTAGCCTGGCACAGCAGTCAACCCACGTCACCTGCTGGGTCTGTCCCGTGACCTCCTTCTCATGCACCCAGCCTGGCACAGCAGTCAACCCATGGCACCTGCTGGGTCTGTCCCGTGACCTCCTCCTCATGCACCTAGCCTGGCACAGCAGTCAACCCATGGCACCCGCTGGGTCTGTCCCGTGACCTCCTCCTCGTGCACCTAGCCTGGCACAGCAGTCAACCCACGACACCTGCTGGGTCTGTCCCGTGACCTCCTCCTCCTGCACCTAGCCTGGCACAGCAGTCAACCCATGGCACCTGCTGGGTCTGTCCCGTGACCTCCTCCTCATGCACCTAGCCTGGCACAGCAGTCAACCCATGGCACCCGCTGGGTCTGTCCCGTGACCTTCTCCTCGTGCACCTAGCCTGGCACAGCAGTCAACCCATGGCACCTGCAGGGTCTGTCCCGTGACCTCCTCCTCCTGCACATAGCCTGGCACAGCAGTCAACCCATGGCACCTGCAGGGTCTGTCACATGACCTCCTTCTCCTGCACCTAGCCTGGCACAGCAGTCAACCCATGGCACCTGCTGGGTCTGTCCCGTGACCTCATGCACCTAGCCTGGCACAGCAGTCAACCCATAGCACCTGCTAGGTCTGTCCCGTGACCTCCTCCTGCACCTAGTCTGGCACAGCAGTCAACCCTTGGCACCTGCTGGATCTGTCCCGTAACCTCCTGCACCTAGCCTGGCACAGCAGTCAACCCATGGCACCTGCAGGGTCTGTCCCGTGACCTCCTCCTGCACCTAGTCTGGCACAGCAGTCAACCCATGGCACCTGCTGGGTCTGTCCCGTGACCTCCTCCTGCACCTAGCCTGGCACAGCAGTCAACCCATGGCACCTGCTGGGTCTGTCCCGTGACCTCATGCACCCAGCCTGGCACAGCAGTCAACCCGTGACACCTGCTGGGTCTGTCCCGTGACCTCCTGCACCTAGCCTGGCACAGCAGTCAACCCATGGCACCTGCTGGGTCTGTCCCGTGACCTCCTGCACCTAGCCTGGCACAGCAGTCAACCCATGGCACCTGCTGGATCTGTCCGTTGACCTCCTGCACCTAGCCTGGCACAGCAGTCAACCCATGGCACCTGCTGGATCTGTCCCGTGACCTCCTCCTCCTGCACCTAGCCTGGCACAGCAGTCAACCCTTGGCACCTGCTGGATCTGTCCGTTGACCTCCTGCACCTAGCCTGGCACAGCAGTCAACCCATGGCACCTGCAGGGTCTGTCCCGTGACCTCCTCCTGCACCTAGTCTGGCACAGCAGTCAACCCATGGCACCTGCTGGGTCTGTCCCGTGACCTCCTCCTGCACCTAGCCTGGCACAGCAGTCAACCCATGGCACCTGCTGGGTCTGTCCCGTGACCTCATGCACCTAGCCTGGCACAGCAGTCAACCCATGGCACCTGCTGGGTCTGTCCCGTGACCTCCTCCTGCACCTAGCCTGGCACAGCAGTCAACCCATGGCACCTGCTGGGTCTGTCCCGTGACCTCCTCCTGCACCTAGCCTGGCACAGCAGTCAACCCGTGACACCTGCTGGGTCTGTCCCGTGACCTCCTGCACCTAGCCTGGCACAGCAGTCAACCCATGGCACCTGCTGGGTCTGTCCCGTGACCTCCTGCACCTAGCCTGGCACAGCAGTCAACCCATGGCACCTGCTGGATCTGTCCGTTGACCTCCTGCACATAGCCTGGCACAGCAGTCAACCCGTGACACCTGCTGGGTCTGTCCCGTGACCTCCTCCTCCTGCACCTAGCCTGGCACAGCAGTAAACCCATGGCACCTGCTGGATCTGTCCGTTGACCTCATGCACCTAGCCTGGCACAGCAGTCAACCCGTGACACCTGCTGGGTCTGTCCCGTGACCTCCTCCTCCTGCACCTAGCCTGGCACAGCAGTCAACCCACGGCGCCTGCTGGGTCTGTCCCGTGACCTCATGCACCTAGCCTGGCACAGGAGTCAACCCGTGACACCTGGAGGGTCTGTCCCGTGACCTCCTCCTCCTGCACCTAGCCTGGCACAGCAGTCAACCCATGGCATCCGCTGGGTCTGTCCCGTGACCTCCTCCTCGTGCACCTAGCCTGGCACAGCAGTCAACCCATGGCACCTGCTGGGTCTGTCCCGTGACCTCCTCCTCGTGCACCTAGCCTGGCACAGCAGTCAACCCACGTCACCTGCTGGGTCTGTCCCGTGACCTCCTCCTCGTGCACCTAGCCTGGCACAGCAGTCAACCCATGGCACCTGCTGGGTCTGTCACGTGACCTCGTGCACCTAGCCTGGCACAGCAGTCAACCCATGGCACCTGCAGTGTCTGTCCCATGACCTCCTCCTGCACCTAGCCTGGCACAGCAGTCAACCCACGGCGCCTGCTGGGTCTGTCACGTGACCTCTTCCTCCTGCACCTAGCCTGGCACAGCAGTCAACCCACGGCGCCTGCTGGGTCTGTCACGTGACCTCCTCCTCCTGCACCTAGCCTGGCACAGCAGTCAACCCATGACACCTGCTGGGTCTGCCCCGTGACCTCCTCCTCCTGCACCTAGCCTGGCACAGCAGTCAACCCATGACACCTGCTGGGTCTGCCCCGTGACCTCCTCCTCCTGCACCTAGCCTGGCACAGCAGTCAACCCATGACACCTGCTGGGTCTGTCCCGTGACCTCCACCTCCTGCACCTAGCCTGGCACAGCAGTCAACCAATGGCACCTACTGGATCAGTCCCGTGACCTCATGCACCTAGCCTGGCACAGCAGTCAACCCACGTCACCTGCTGGGTCTGTCCCGTGACCTCCTCCTGCACCTAGACTGGCACAGCAGTCAACCCATGGCACCTGCTGGGTCTGTCCCGTGACCTCCTCCTCCTGCACCTAGCCTGGCACAGCAGTCAACCTATGGCACCTGCTGAGTCTGTCCTGTGACCTCATGCACCTAGCCTGGCACAGGAGTCAACCCGTGACACCTGCTGGGTCTGTCCAGGGACCTCCTCCTCGTGCACCTAGCCTGGCACAGCAGTCAACCCACGTCACCTGCTGGGTCTGTCCCGTGACCTCCTCCTGCACCTAGCCTGGCACAGCAGTCAACCCATGGCACCTGCAGGGTCTGTCTCGTGACCTCTTCCTGCACCTAGCCTGGCACAGCGGCACAACCCATGGCACCTGCTGGGTCGGTCCCGTGACCACCTCCTCCTGCACCTAGCCTGGTACAGCAGTCAACCCATGGCACCTGCTGGGTCTGTCCCGTGACATCCTCCTCGTGCACCTAGCCTGGCACAGCAGTCAACCCATGGCACCTGCTGGGTCTGTCACGTGACCTCCTCCTCCTGCACCTAGCCTGGCACAGCAGTCAACCCATGGCACCTGCAGGGTCTGTCACGTGACCTTTTCCTCGTGCACCTAGCCTGGCACAGCAGTCAACCCATGGCACCTGCTGGGTCTGTCCCGTGACCTCGTGCACCTAGCCTGGCACAGCAGTCAACCCATGGCACCTGCTGGGTCTGTCCCGTGACCTCCTCCTCGTGCACCTAGCCTGGCACAGCAGTCAACCCATGGCACCTGCTGGGTCTGTCCCGTGACCTCCTCCTCGTGCACCTAGCCTGGCACAGCAGTCAACCCATGGCACCTGCTGGGTCTGTCCCGTGACCTCCTCCTCGTGCACCTAGCCTGGCACAGCAGTCAACCCACGTCACCTGCTGGGTCTGTCCCGTGACCTCCTCCTGCACCTAGCCTGGCACAGCAGTCAACCCATGGCACCTGCAGGGTCTGTCCCATGACCTCCTCCTGCACCTAGCCTGGCACAGCAGTCAACCCATGGCACCTGCTGGGTCTGTCCCGTGACCTCCTCCTCGTGCACCTAGCCTGGCACAGCAGTCAACCCACGGCGCCTGCTGGGTCTGTCACGTGACCTCCTCCTGCACCTAGCCTGGCACAGCAGTCAACCCATGGCACCTGCTGGGTCTGTCACGTGACCTCCTCCTCCTGCACCTAGCCTGGCACAGCAGTCAACCCATGGCACCTGCAGGGTCTGTCACGTGACCTCCTCCTCCTGCACCTAGCCTGGCACAGCAGTCAACCCATGGCACCTGCTGGGTGTGTCCCGTGACCTCGTGCACCTAGCCTGGCACAGCAGTCAACCCATGGCACCTGCTGGGTCTGTCCCGTGACCTCGTGCACCTAGCCTGGCACAGCAGTCAACCCATGGCACCTGCTGGGTCTGTCCCGTGACCTCCTCCTCGTGCACCTAGCCTGGCACAGCAGTCAACCCATGGCACCTGCTGGGTCTGTCCCGTGACCTCCTCCTCGTGCACCTAGCCTGGCACAGCAGTCAACCCATGGCACCTGCTGGGTCTGTCCCGTGACCTCCTCCTCG